TATGTTTCTGCAAACCTTCACATTTTCATCTTAATCATATAATTCACCTTAAGTTCACTTGAATCTATGTCAATAAATGGTGGTTCATCTTCAATATCCCATGCAATCGGCAAAACAATGTTATTGTATGGAGTTATTAATTTTAAATTTCCCATTAGGTTAGAATTCAATTCAGATCTTTCATTTAGACGATTAGTAGTAGGAAGATGAATCATGGGGTACTTATCATGGAGGCGACAGATATTCTTTTTAATTAGGAAATAGCGAGCTATATGGACCTCCATATACTACTAGTGATAGTAATATACTGCTGAAAGTCCTCCTTATCATATTCATTCAAATTCTTAATTGTCTAAAAGGGACTTCAATTAGTTAATCTTAAAAATGAATTGAATAATCATAAAAATAATTAAATTACAATACCAAATATTTTTTCAGTTATTATTTTTGAAATAGTTATATATAAAAAAAAAACAAATCAATAATTATTTATATTTTATACTCAGAAGCAAATTTACCATTATAAATCTTCATTGAAAGATTATTGTCAAATAAATAGTATCCAGTTGACATCATGATTCCAAACTATAAATTTCAATCCACTCTTTTTCAACAGATTTATTATAATAAATAAATGCTTTATACCCATCTTCAACCTTTTTCAACAGCAAACCTTTTTATTTGTGCATAAGAAATTTAAATCTATGTTAGCTAACTCTTTAAACTACACTAACTACTATATAATATTCAATTATATATTCATTAATCCAAATTTTACAAACTAATACGTGCGAATAAAACATATAATAATTCAGATTAGAATCAGATATAAAATAAGTGCTGCCAAGAGAAAAAGACACCTCCATTTTTTAATCAATTATTGAATCAATAATTGATTAAAAAAACAGAGGTGCCCTTTTTCCTTGGCAGTACTCAAATAGAATATTTGCTGAGTATCGGATTCAAATATTACATACATGATTTATTTATTGAGTTGTTGGAAGGGTACACGGGGTAAAATAAATCTATATTTTTTTGGAACTTGTGGATTTGGTGCTTGCGAAGGTGGACCTGGTGCTTGCGAAGGTGGACCTGGTGCTTGTGAAGGTAAACTTGGTGCTTGCAAGGGTGGATTTGGTACTTGCAATGAATTTGGCGCTTGTAAAGATGAATTTTTTGCTTGTGAAATAGTAGTATGGTTCGTTTGAGGTACAGCAGGTCTGACAAAATAAATAATTAATATGTTTTTGATAGAGAAAAAAAAATGATATAGAATTTTTGTAACTAAACAATCTTTCAGAACTAAATAAATCAAAGTTCCGAAGAATTATTTCATTAACAAAAATTTTATCTAATCCTTACTGGTCAAAAAATTCTCCAGAATCTGATAAAAATTTACAAGTAACGGTGCCACACTGAAAAATACAATTATTCTCCTTTAACTCTGATTGTGACCAACTAAAATTAACTTCATAAGAACTCTCATTATCCACAAATAGAACATAGCCTATAGTTTTTAATTTTGGATCTTGTCGAATATTCCAATAATCATAGTTAATTAATTGTTTTAATCTTTGTTCACCAGCCTTGCCCTGAAATACACAGGAATACTTTTGCTGAACAGGGCTATATCGAAAAGAAGATTCATTTTCAAAAAGAAAAACCAATATATTTTCTGGAAAAGCATTAATAGAAACTTGGTTTGTGCCTATTGAGTACCTATTAAAACTGAGACATTTCTTAATAAGAACAACAAATATATTTTGGTAAAATGCTATTTGATCAAGAAGAGGTTGAGTAAGTAAGCAACAATAAGGTATAATTTTGTTATTTCAGTGCTTAGTTCCTTCATAGATTACGAGCTTTTTTCAGGAGAAAAAAATTTCTTGACAAAGTTGGCATTTACTGGCCATCGAAAGTTTTATCATTAATTATCATTATTGTTATTGTTATATATTTTGCAAAATTTTTATTGGTCAATCAATTTTTTAGATAACACAAATTCGCAAACATCACATTTGAGTTTTGGTGATATAATCAAATAGAAATAAATCTGCCCATACGCAATATCTCAAAAACGGGATTATGAAATGGGATTGGGTGTACTAAGTAAAATGTTCAGAATTCCTGAAAACCTTGTATAACCTAAATTTGGGCCATTATAACTAACACCTGTCTTGGTCTTAAACTGCACCCTAACTCTAAAATTTGACAAAACTTATATTACCACAGGTGATCATTAGATTTTTTCGACGAAGAAAATATAAAAAGTGACAAATAATCCTTGATCACTATCCTGATCACTAACTTCAAAAAATTCTTAATAATTAATTTTCATATGGTATCACATGTAGTTTGATACATAGTTACTGAACACCCCAACGTTATATCGGTAAAACTATATGAACCCCAGGGAAAATATGTAAAACTCAAAATTTGATAATACAAATTATTGGGTTTTTTACGTACATACTTGTGAATTACTAGACCATGCAGGCCACAAAAACCTTGGAATCTCTCATGCACACAAAATGAAAATAAGCATATGAATGCTGCATGTTAATTAAGATTTGTACGCAGAATAATATAGATCAATTTGTAAAAAAGATTTATTATTCTTGGGGGTTCTCTGTTCTTGTTTTTAGCTGCTCGATATTCATGTCTAGCACCCCCTACAACATCCCAAAAGCACCAAATAAAATGAATAGAGATTACAAGAGAGATTGAATAAGGGTATGTAGTGAAGATGCAGGTAGAGAAAGGTAATAAAGAAAGTTAAATAGAACCAAAGGTATAACTTTTCACTGCATGCTATGCAAAAGCTGCGCATCCCATATTGTACTCGTAGTTAGGCACAGATGTATTGTTGGCTACAGAATCTGCTCATTCAAATAGAAGGTATAGATTCAATTACAAACATTTTTAATAGGTTTTTGTATCTATTTGGTGATACATGATTATTTTGGCTTTTTGCTGCGTTGAATTTTTTGCCGGTATGATAATAGTCAAAGGCACAATAAAAATATCGTTTCTATAATATATAGTAATTGGGCTGGAGAGGGAGGAGCTCTTATTCTTAAGAATTTAACAGATGTTTGGTTCCCGCCCATTATTATGATAACCCAGATCAAAAATCAATTAGGGAACAGTCACATAATCTTAAAACTATCTGGATTTGACATAACCATATCGCTCTAACCATATGTTATTGTGATTTGTTTTTTTTTTTATTTGAATTCTTTATTTGTATTTACTACTTGTATTTCTTAAGATCTGTTTTTTCTAACTGTTAGAAATCTCAATATACCAGGAACAGAGTTTGTACAATATACAACGTAGTGTATGGTTTACGGGCAAGTTAATATGCATGTACAATTCTCAGCACTTGATTGGTTCACATGACTCTGTTCGTCACATATTGTTATGCATTATCTATTTTTCGCACCTATTTTTCACACCTTATATATGTGCGCTTGCACACGTGAGCATATATTGTCTAAAATACTGTCTCAATATTTAATGTGACTAGTACTACGTACCCTTCATGTGTACAGTATGACGAATGAAAATAAAACTCGGGACCGTATTAATTCACAGATGTATAATAAATGATAGTAAAAGCTTGATTTATTTGCATAAATACTGGTGGCCCGATGTGAATTTTCGCATATGTTCATTAAATTTTTTGGATTTTCCAATTTTTTTCATAGGATTTTTTATTGGGTTGATGAAATGATAATCACTGATCATCAAAGATTTGAGCAAAAATTTTTTTCTATATTTATTATAGATGCATACTTATTATATCGTTAGTTACGCATTTTATTTATATAAGCCGTAGCTAAGTGATATCATAAGTCTGCATTTATACATATATGTATAATTAGAAATTGCGTATGGGATTTTCTCTAATTTGAGCATAGAGTTATATATATGTAGCAGGCTATATCTCAATTTTTTTCTAATTTGAGTATTAAATTTACCTGTTTTTGTATGTATATCTAACTTGAGCATTTCTTGATTTTTTTCTTTTGTAATGAGCCACTTAGCATTTTTGTTAGTCTACAGGCAAGAAATGTGGTGTATACAATTCTTAGCATCTGATTGGATAAAAAAACCCTTGTGAATTTTGTAGTACCCGAAACAATACTAAAAAGGTTAACAAAAAAAATCAATAATATACCTTTATTAGTATTTATACCAATATGTGAATGTGCGATTCTTGGTATCAGTATCTGACCTATAGTTGGTGGTAGAATTTAATTTGGCAAATTAATACGGCAACGGCATTTCCGTAATTTTTGCTACAATTATTTTGTGCTGTAATGCTGCAATGCCGTAATGCCGTAATGCCGCAATGCTATAATGCCATAATACCGTAATGCCATAATGTCAAAATACTATAATGCTATTGTATCTAAAGATTATAATTAGAGATGTGCCTCTCGCACTAGCATATATTTCACATATTATATAATATTGCACGAGATATAATATATTTGCACATCTCTAATTGTTATATAATATTATTGTTGTGTTAAATACTGTAATGCTGCAATAATATATAATAAAATTCTGTTAGTGTTATATAGTTTAAAGCACTTTTATTAACAAGGTATCATATAACGCTAACAAAATTTTAGTATATACAAACTATCTATTGACTAGTTCATCAAAGTTCTATGACATTGCTTAGATTTAAAAATTTTTTAAATATAAATATTTATGGAAATATTGTAATTATTATAAATAATTTATAATTATCATGTGGCTTCTCATTAAATAAAAAATATTAAGATTCAAGTTGTTTATAATTTAAAACTTAGCCTCAAAAAATATTAAATTAAGGGAACTGCTATTTGCACCATACATATAAATCACTTCGATTTTATTACAAATTATTTAAAAATTTTCTTAGAAAATTTTAAACCGGTTGTTATATAAAAACTGCGCCAAAATTGTTTATAAAAATTTGATCAAAAATATCTTGGCAACTAATTAATTAAATTCAATAAAAATTTTTTTTTTTTTTATTCGAATTTAAATAAAAAAATTTCATCGAATTTGATCAATTTGTTGCCGAGATATCTTTGATAAACTTTTGAGAAAATTTATAAAA